CAACTGATTGTTGAAACAATATGATTTGTGTTTAGGTAGCTACATTGTGAGAAGTTCACACGTCATATAACGTGTTATATGACATGTTATTGATTGTCACACGTCAGAACTGATTGTCGCCCAAAACAGGAACTTGAGATATGCAATTGAAACATTACATTTCTTTTTTAAAAATTCCATAGAACCACCTGTAAATTAACCATGGCTATGTAAATAAGAAGCACTGTGAATACCTCTTCTTTTTGCATGTTTTGCTTGAAGAACTGGAAATCAAGTTGGACTTGGAGCTAATACTTGCTTCCAGGGATGGAAGGGTCCTATTCAAGGAAAATGTTCCTGCTTTATTTCCAAACATCTTTCTCCTTCATCCCTGTATTACAGTTCATCTGATTCAACATTTGAAACAGTAGCTCAGTGGACTCTTATAGAAAAGAGGAAACAATTAAGGCAACATCAATCAGCCTGGTTGGACGTGCATTGTTTAGCTTTCAAAAGAATCACCTAGGCATACAATGTTTTGTTTCCTTGGAGTGAACCAGCATCTTAAGGCCCTTCTACACAGGGCCAAACCAGTGATGAGTTCCAGATTAGCCTTAAACATCCAAAAGTCTCACAATAATCCAGATTAACACAGAGTAAACCTGCATTTCCAGATTTACTCTGGATTAAAAAAACCCCTAAAAGATATTTTCAATCAGGTTCAAATCTTTGCAGGTGAGAGCCTTGTGGGGATTGAGTTGCAGGATCACCTATTGTGATCCCAAGGGTGAATCCCCCCATTTTTAAGGGTCTGTGTGCTTGAAGAATCAGGATGGTACTGCCACCCAGCCCTCCTTTGCCCCCTTTTCAATTTTAAAACAATTTAAAAGCAGAGAATTCCTGGAGTCTTAAAAGCACTCTGTGTGTCTGGAAATGATGCAACAGAGCTTTTAAGAGGGGAGCGGAGAATGTTGTTTTGGCATGTGAAGGAATGCAGCCACACACATCCCTATGAATATCATAGGATTTGGACCCACTGTTTTCCCTAAATCCCAGGTCCTTCCAGCATTTAGTTCTGTCTGGAAGAGTCCTTGATTAATCATGGGATTTTGAAAGAAATGAGCCATGGAAAAATTGGAAGCAGGATGTGTCTCCTATTGGATGCAGATCTGAAGAAGCTCCAAAAAAGGCAGTTTACATTCTTGTTTGACCTTGATTACTATTACATGAGTAAAGAGCATCTGTATTCCCCACACAAACTCCTGTGTTTGCTGCTAGCTGCTCTGGATTTTTAGAACTTAATCTGTAAAGTTCAATGAGAGTTGGGATAAATAACAATAACAGAAGAATGAAGAACATTCCTAATCTAATTACAGTGGGAGTTTGTGGTAAGTTTGTATTTTTTTTTCCTTCAGTGTTTATCCAGACAGTGGTATGCTTGTATTTGTCCCTTCGATGTTTGTCCATAGAGTACAGAAATATGATTGTTGTCCAGTCTTGCATGTTGTTATTCATTGTAAAACACTATTGTAAAATGTACCTGAACTTTTAACATACAGCTATTTGTGTGTGTGTGTGTTCTTTTCTTTTAAAAAATCGGTTGCTTTTTAAATATATCTCACTCCTTTTCAACAAGGCAGCCATTGCCTGTGTATTGTCTACTGTGAAAAACCTATTCATCTGGGGCAACTGTGCTATATTCAAGAAGAATCTGTGGATTTTCTTTTTAGCCAGTGTAATCTGTGTTTCTTTTTATTTTGCAGAGTTGGTGAAAGAAAAGAAGAAGGAATGGTCTGGCTTCCAAATTACAACTAAACAACCTGGTTGAGAGATTGTGGGAGTTAAAGTAGCTTTTTCAATTTCTGCTTATTTAGTCTTTAAATTCAGTCTGTTCTTGCAAATATCTCTATGGGAACTCAGCTTAAGAAATTATTTAAGAAAGTGGATATAGTCCTAAAGGACTGTACATTTCCCGACCCCCACTCTCTACCCCACTCACAGCCTTCCTCTTCCAGGCCAGGCTCCTCCAGAGGTGGGGCATGGCGCAGTGGCAGTGGCAGCAGAGGGGTTGCCAAGACAGGGCCATGGCTGCCTCACCCTGCACCTTGCTCAGGCCCAGCACCACTATGGCAGTAGCAGCAGCAACAGGGAAGCCTGCTCAACCCAGTTGCAGAAGCCTGGACCTGGGGTGACACGTAGGAGCCCGGCAGTAAGACCTCCTTCTCCTCCTCTTCTCTGAGGCACCATATGGAAATGTGGGATGTTCCTCATCAGGGAAGGAGGAGGAGGCATGGGTATACAGTGTTCCCTCGCTACTTGTGTATTTTAAATTCAGTTTGAAAAACCACAAACCAGCAAGTCCGCGGAAAGCGAACCGCAAAGTAGCAAGGGAACACTGTATTAAACATATGCCATCCAGTAGTCACAATCTGCTTGCCCACAGAAAACCATATTTAATAATCTAGAGGTGATGTGGTCTATTTAATTCAATTTTCTGAATCAGCACCACAAATAACCCCAGGATCAGGCCTAAAAACAAAGATGCCAAGAAAAAAAATTCTGATTGGGCTGTGTTATTATCCATGGATTTTGTTAATGCTCTGCATTATAAGACGGTTTTGCAAAACCACCTGCTCTAGTTGTAATGGTGTAGCAACAGTGAGGTCGTGGATCATATTTTAGATCTTGCAGACCACTGGTAGTCCATGGACCAAATGTTGGGAACCACTGTTCTAGATGATAGGATAGATGATGTTTCCCTCCAAAATTAAAATCTCCAGTGAAAGATAGAAAGCACACTTAATCTTGCATGTAGCATGTTGCAGCTACCAGGATTTGGATCTCATGTTTAGGGGAAAGCATTATAGAAATTAGGCAGGTAGGTTGATATCTGTGCTTATTATCTGCTGGTCTGCATTTTGGTGACCTGCATCATTCTTAAAATGCAACCATTTTCCACCTCACTCTACCTCATTGCTTTTTAAATTAAGGGAACCAACCCCAAATGGGGTCCTCTTAGCTCAATGTTAGGGTCACAAAAATTGGCAACAGCACAAGACTCATTTACACAAATTTATTAGTAGTAACATGCAGTGTTTACTGTACTCCACAAAGGAAACTCAGCCTTGCAAATGCAGATTTAATAGTAAATGTTTGATTACCTATATGCATGGTGTCACATAAAATGAATTCTGGCATGAGGGGGTTATGAGTGGAAAAATTTTAAGAAGCCCTGATCTAATATACAGCCATTTTCTTACTCTTCCCTCTTTCCTTGCCAAAATTGTATATTTGTCAATGTGCAAATGTTTGTTAAGTTATGGTACATGTATTTATTTTGCAAATAAGAGGCTTTCTCTACTAGACCCTGTGATGGGTATGTGGCAGGTGGTTGTTCACCATCTGCCCTGCCAATTTAATTACTATGCTCAAGAAATCCACTACTATTTCTCACATTCCCAACAGTTTAACATCCGTTTTATTTATCTAATGTGTCAGAAGTGAGTTGAGGGTATAGTTAGCATGCATTTAAAAACACAAAGTTTTAAAAACATCAAAAAGAAATATGTATGTCTCCCTTATTTGTCCACCAGCATTGATTCTACCTGAAGCAGGATAATTTCTTGATTCTGGAATGTGAGGTTTAATTCTTCGTTGATCTCAGCATTCTTGTCTTTCACCTCCTGTGATGCCTGTTATCATCATTTGGACTCCAGCCCAGTGGCAGGAGAACAAGTCCTGGTCTGATTATGCTGATCCAGTACCAGAAAACTTGCAGAACATAGTCCGATACTTCCCTTGGACTTGAACCATCTCTTGATTAATTTTTTAAAAGCATGGCATGCATTAAGTTTATTTTGAGATAGCGCTTGTTTTCCTCTGTCTTTGATGTGAAACTGCAAAAAGATCTGCCTTCAATAAAAGATTTCGTTCCAACGTTATGTCTTTTGGTTTTTGTGAGTGCATTTACTCAGTGGGATTAAAGTGGGGATGGGGGTGGGGGACAGTGATCTGACCTCATTTCGAGTCAGTAAAATCAAACAGTTCTGAAACTAGTGAGTCATCGCCGGAAACCAGACCACTTTCAGGCATTATTTTGCAATACAGCCAGTTTGAAGGATTGACACGCAGTTCCCTATCATCATGAAGGAATTACTTTTCAATAATTTAAAACTTATGGAAATGTAAGTAAGGCGATTTGCTGTGTGCACTCAAAGTACAGTAAATCAATAAGTCATCATCACACCAATGCCTCCTTCACTTTTATTCCAAATTTCAGAATGGGGAAATTGTGGGGTCATTGTAGAGATCAGAGTCTATATGGAGATCAGGTTTTCAATATCCTTATAGAATGAATTTCCTTCTTGCAAAAAGGTTCTGAACTGGGACTAGAGAAATTCATTGCTTATTCATCCTGAATAAATACACCTTCCAACAGGAAGCTGAGTCAAATACATAATGCGAATTCTACACTTTGGGAGTCATTTTGGGTAATACTTCTGGCTGTGATCCCAGAATGAAAACCATGTTACCTGTTGACCTGTGATCCATTCAGAGATTACATTGTAAATGCATCATTTCCCACTCCCCCGCCCCCAGGTATGGATAAGAGCTTCTGCGCCCATTTAAAGAAAGAATCACAATTTATCATGCACTGTTTGCCTGCTTGGAAATGAATGGGAGACCCTGAATACAAGAGTTTGATGCATCTTCCACTGCATGGAGAGAATGGAAAGTTTTCCTTGTCTGCACAATACAATTTAGGATAAGCCTCAAAGGACTCAGTGAGACACTTTCCAAGAAGAAAAGTTAGTCGAAGTAATGAATGTTGGGTTTTTCTTGGGCTGGTTTGTAGAGAGTGGTTAAGTAAACATTACGGAAGCAGCCCAGGCTTTTCTCACCAAGTGTGTAGAGGGGGATACTATTAAATCCCTGCCCTTAGACTGTGTAGTCATTGTCTAATAATAATAGACAATTCCCCCACCATTATCCCCCCCCCCTCACCACACACGCACCAGCAAATAAGGCTGTGGCTGCAGCCTGATTGGTATATCATCTCACTTTCCCTGAGCATTGATTTTCCTTGCTCTCTTTTTATTTGCTTCATAAAAAAACAGGGACACGGAGCTACTGCTGGCTACTGGGCGGCTTTTTGGGTGCTTTTCTTTTTAGCATGAGCCAAACGTTGTCTTCTTTCAGATGAGGGGAGTTGGATTATAAAACCTTTTGTAAATGTGTATGGTGATATTTGCTCCGGTAAGTTCACACTGTTCCCTCGGTGGCTGTAACTGTCAGTTTGTCTTGCCTTAAGGAACCTGTTTTAAAACCTTAATCCACCTTTGTTGTGTGCGTCTCTGTGAGCAATTGCATCCTTATCTGATTGAATTATGTTTGTGTCTCATTCGGTGATGCTTTATAAGAATATATGGTACTTTGTGTGGAGGGAGAGAGCTTCGGTGAACTTCTGTAGTTTAGGAAAAAGCAGTAATCTGTGCATAAGCAAGAAATGACAGAGACATAGATTTAATGTATCATTGACTGTTTGGTTTGAAAATATAGATGATGAAACATAGATAGATAGATAGATAGATAGATAGATAGATAGATAGATAGATAGATAGATAGACAGACTGTAGTGTGTTGAAATTAGATGAGAATGAAGTAATGATTGAATAGCACCATTCAGAAACAATAGGTGATGTGTAGCTATTGTTGTACTAAGTTAAATAAGAAAAAAGTAAAGTGTTTTGCCAGTGTTTGGATATAAATTTAATTTGACATAATTTATTTTCCTGAAGGCTTTTTAAAGATGTTGCTTTGTATAGACCTTGTCTAGTCTGTAATATTCCACATAGAAAAATAAAAATATGCAAAATAGCATACTACATGCAGCATTTAGAACAGTATATTATTGTGTATAATAGTGATATAGCAGAAGAGTTTGGGAATGGGAGAAATTGTACACTGGGCTTCTTTGGCTTCTTCTGCAAAATTAAGTCGCATACAAGAGTTTTCAATATTTTTTTAAAAGTTCTTACTAGAGCTGGAAACCACTGATGCCATCTCTTTGAAAGGTACAGGAAAAGTCCATTAATTGTTGTGCTATAGTATGCTCTTAATACTCAGAAACACACAGTAGGTTTGCCTTTGTCATGCAGTGCATAGCTCTTATCTGTGGGACTGCACTTTTGTTGTGTTTTCTTTGAAAGTTGGGTGTGCTTAACCAGAAAACGGGGGGAGAGGAAGATGGAATGAAGCATTTCATTTCTGAGGAACCAAATGGGCATCAGAAGGAAACCTATCCAGTTGAAGTTTTGGGGGACAAAATCCTGTTTCTCAACACCATTTTGACCAGTTGGGTGCTCCTTTTGTGCAGTGTAGTACTTTCCTAGTAAAGTGTGACAATAAAGCATGAGAATTGCTACTAGATATAGACATTTAGTCCCAATTAATGTATTGTACTAAAAATAATTGAGGTTTTAGCAACTATTTAATATATTCTAAAGCATTGTGTTTAAATGCTACTGGTTTTAGGCTATTCATATATGTATGGTACTTTAAAAAACATATTTATTCTGGAGTATAAACTTATTGTTGTTTCTAACATATTATGCTTAAGCTTGATAATACATAAGCCTCAGAAGTGAGAATTCAAAGCATATTTCCGGGTAAATTGAATAATTATTGTTTGGAAAAATTCCATATTTCTTTAATTTTCAAACTGAAATAAGCAGTCCTGAATATGTCGCTTTCTCAATGTGTTTTAACATTGGTTAAGAAAGAACAGGCAAGGTGGCTTCATACTTTTAGAATCAATTTCTTTTGAAAGGACCCACTGAACTAACTTGCATGTATATTATCCTTCACAAGACAACTGCCCACAGTCCTGCAATACTTCAATACCAAAAAGAAGTTGTTTGATTTAGTTCTTAATTCAAGAAGTGGGTTTATTTATTTATTTTGTTTCTTCTTACTTGGATTGCTCCTTGTCAAAGCATTGTATTGATATCAAAACACCAAGTGGACCCTTCGGTGGAAAAATTAAATGGCCCATCATACTGTGCTTCCTCCATGTGAATTACATTGGTGCTTTGGCCATAAAAATAAAACTAGAATGCCACTGGAAATGTGAAGTGGAGAGAGAATGGGGGGAAAGCAGAATCAGTTTTTGCTAGTGACTCAACATGTTTGGTTGACCTCATAAAATCTGCAGGTTAGACCTATTGTTAATATAAAGTACCATTGTCAAAGCATCTGAGCCAAGGATGTTATAGAAGGGGGAAAATTGAGCCAGTTAGCAGAATATACATGTTTTCTCTCATTTCTTATTTGTTATATGTATATTTGTAGGCCAGTATGGTATAGTGCTTTGAGTGTTGGACTACAACTCTGCAGATAAGGTCACAATTACCTGCTTGGCCATGGAAACTCAGTAGGTGACCTTGGATGAGCTACACTTTCTCAGCCCTAATAAACCCCATGACAGATTCACCTTAGGATCACCTTAGTCAGGAACAACTTTAATGCACACAACAGCAATATGTATGCTTTGAGGAAATTGTGTCTTTTTCACAATGCCCCATTTATAGTGCTTTGATATCCATGTAATTTCTGTGATCCTAAGGAATATTAAGAATTGTGGTTCTGAGAGGTGTTTAGATTTCTCTGTCAGAAACTTCTGGTGTCTTCACTAACTACAAATCCCAGGATTCTGAAAGACGCAGACATGGCAGTGAAAGTGGTATCAAAGTGCTGTAAAAGCTTGAAAGAGATCTCTGTTGAATAACAGGACTTTTAGAAGAAAAGCTGGCTAAGGACTTTTGTCACCTTCTCTAGTCTGTGTGAATAATTCTGATATATCCACAGGTATGAATAAAGCAGTAATGGATTACATTCCAACAGCTCCTTGCAGTCTCTCTTGAGTACCCATTTGCATGGAATTTTTCTATTAGTATTATACACAAATATTTCACTCAAGTGGTTCTGTGTTTTTAGGGGTTGGCCAATGTTTGCAGTATCCATGGTCGAAACTCTAAATTTGCTGGCATTGAAGTCAACCGACGTCTACAATTAGACCAGTATATATTGTCTTGATTTCACTGAAGGAAAAAAAGGGTATAAATGTGTAAAAGGTTCAGCAATATTGACAACTGTATGCTGCAGACTGCCTACAGCCCCTAAATTACTCAGCTATTGCTAGTAAAGAATATTGCTTGACAGGTATTGTGAGCAGAAGGTGATGGTGATATTAGAAATCAATGTGAGCATCTGCCTGAGTACACAGGAAATGCTCTATCTGGAATGGTTTTTGATGTAGCAGATGGAAGGATAGAGAAGAAGAGAGAATTGCACACCTTGCTGTCATTCCATTTGGATTGTCATTAGGGATGGAAAGAATATAGAAACGATTCAAAATGTATTTACAATTATGTGTGTGTGTGTGTATTCAACATTTTTCTTAGTTGATTACTAGGAAACTCCGATAACTTATTCTTCACAAATGGCAGGTGATAATTGTGTACAGAAAACTGTCTTCTGTGCCAGAAACAGTATTATTTTTGAGCATGTGAATTTTGCACAGAATAAATTCTGCCAAAAATAAATTTTGCAAAAATTGGAAAGTTTGCAAAGACTTTCTTCTCACAGAATGAAGAAAATTATTTATATTACTGATTGCAGTCTTCAAGAATGAAATTAGTAAAGAATTACATCCATGCTTCTCACTATGTCTCTGGGTCGGTGCACCTATGCTCTAGGCCAGTGATGCCCAACCTTTGGTCCTCTGAGTGTTTTGGTTTTCAGCTCCCATAATTCCTGAGTATTAGAAAAGCTGGGTATGGCTTCTGGGAGTTGGAGTCCCAAACACCTGGGAGACCACAGATTGGACACCACTGCTTGAGGCCATATTACCAATGTGCTTGTTGGGTGGGATGTAACTGGAATATCTGAAGCACTACATCCAGAACTAGTATTGTTCAGGTGAATCTTCTCTCCCTTCTGTGTCCTTTTATTGAAGAGAATATGTAGATGAGAAACTCTTTAGCCACTTTTTAGTGATGCAAAATTCTGAAGTGAGGTAGACACAGAGGAAATAGAATGGAATATGTGATTAATTTGGTGCAAGAACAAGGCAATGTTAGCAGGGAAAAACCTAATGGACTTCTGTAGGAATGGAAACACTGTACTTGAAGATACATACAGTTGAACTTCATCTTTTGCAGTAGTGCAGGATGAAGGCATAACACTATCATTTTCAGGGAGCAGTCCATTCCACTGCCACAAGCTAGGTTAAATTGCTGTGCCACCATGAATTCAGCTCAGAAAAATGTATAAATATTCCAGAGTTGGCTAAAGCAAGTACATGCATACACATCTCAAGCCCGCTCACTGCAACATATGCAATGGGTTGGATAGAGACCCACATATGATCATTAGTGTACAGGTATGGGTTATGCCAGTAATTCTCAAACTTTGTCTTCCAAGTGTTTTGGACTTAAAACTTCCAGAAGCTCCAGAAAGCTTGCCCAACAGTCAGAAAGTTTGGAGTCCAAAATCTTTGAAGAACCAAAGTTTGAGAACCATTGGGTTATTCAATTAAAGTATACACAGTAAGTGAAAATCATTTTCACTCTACATTTTCCAAATCCTCCCTTATCCCTCCAAGGCAGGCATGTAGCCGGGGGGGGGGGGGCTTGAGGGGCGTCAGCCCCCCCCCCCCGAAATTCTCATGGTGGTTCGCGAAAAGGCCTTACTGGTGCATTATTTAAACTTAAGTTTATTCATATCATGATCTGATCACCATACTCAATATATCCCATATGCATGGGGGTATTGGGGTAATGATACAAAAGGTTTGCTAGGGTAGACCCTCTTTCACTCAGACTCAGCCCCCCCCCGAACCAAACTCCCCCCCCCCCCCCCCCCCCCCCCCCGGAATCGAAATCCTGGCTACGGGCCTGCCTCCAAGATTCTGTCTTTTTCAAGATGTAATTTGTGGAACTGACCATTTCACTCAGTGGCCATCACTATATCCTATAGCAGACCTGCACAGTCTGTGGCCCTCCCGGTGTTTTTTAGGCGAGGTCCCAAAATTCCTGAGGATTGGACAAGCTGACTTCTGGGAGTTGGAGTCCCGAACACCTGGAGGACCATAGGTTGTGCAGGCTTGTTTCCTTATGTCTGTTAAGCAACCTCAGTGATGGAGGCTTCATGTGCTACTAGTGGTGTATTTAAGGCAATATGCTTCCCAATAGCAA